ATTGTGAAATATATTTGTTTTTATGGAGACTGCCACTCATTAAGCCCCTTGAGGGTTTTCCGGCAGTTGTCCATCACATTTTCTTTTTTAGTGAAACATAATACTGTTTTTATCTTTTTGTTGTGAAAATAAAATAAAAAATAAATAAAAAGAAATAAGGGACAGTGCCGATATTCCGCCTGCTCTAAAGCCCTAGCTTCTAATCCCTGATTGATTTATGGATTGACTCTAGAAACGAGTGAGTTCCCCAGTGAGGACTGCAGTGTGATGGCAGGCGGTTCTCTAACTGGATGGCATGCAGACGTTGCCACGGTGATGTGGCGGAGGATGTTGGGCATCCTGGGAGATGTCAACAGCATCAAAGACCCAGAGATCCACGCTCAGGTCTTTGACTACTTGTGCGAACTGTGGCAAAACTTAGCCAAGGTGAGTAGTGGTAAATCCATTTATTACACAATACGCGTTATTTGGCAGTTTTGATGATGAATTTGGGCATTTCTGTTTCAGATAAGGGATAATTTGGGCATTTCCCTGGACAACCAGTCATCTCCCCCTCCTCCTGTTTTGATCCCTCCTCTCAGAATACTCACTCCATGGCTTTTCAAGGTAAATCTGATAGAGAAAGTAAATAAATAATTGATATAATAACTGATATTCTCATGTTAATCATGATAGCTTTGATTTGTTCAATTTCCCAAGTAAAGTATTTTTTAAAGATGCAGCTTGTTACCGAAAACTGTGAAGAAATATGTTTGTTTTGTTGGTGTTTTCACACGTTTGTGTGTTTTCCCTCTCGAGGCCACCATGTTGACAGAGCGTTACAAGCAGGGGAAGCTTCATGCCTACAAGCTAATCTGCAGGATCATGAAGAGACGACAAGACGTTTCCCCAAACACAGACTTTCTCACACACTTCTACAATATTATGCACCAAGGACTTCTGCACCAAGACCAGGTGAGTGTCCATAATTAGTGCAGAGGAAATGGATCTAGTTCGTTTTACTTGTAGTAGCTAAGTAAATGAACATAGAATATCACAGGATGTGTCAGTGTCGTTTAATGAATAACTAGATGGCAGATTTTTAAAGAAGAACATCTCTTCTGTAGGACATCGTGAACACCATCATCAAGCACTGTAGTCCCCGTTTTTTTAGTATCGGTCTGCCCGGAGCCACTATGCTAATCCTCGACTTCATCATCGCGGCATCGAGAGTCACCGCCTGCTCATCTCTCAACGTGAGAATCAAACCTCGTGTTCAGGACCGATTTCATCCATTTGGTCACTTCCAGTGACCGTTTACATTAATGCATGCCCTGATCTCGCTTTGTTTCACCAGTGTTTGTTCTTTAATCTTTACTTTTGTCACATTCTCTCCGCTGCTTTTTTCAAAGGCTCCCAGAGTGGAGGCCCAGATCCTTCTGGGGTCTCTGGTGTGTTTTCCTAACTTGTACGGGGAGCTTCCAGCCCTCCATCCCACCACGGCTGACGTGGTGCTCACCAAGTTTCCTGATGTAAAGGTACGTTGGAGTAACTACTAGATGCCATCAGATCCCATATGACTGCAGTTTTGTGGCTGGGTGAAACCCTCGGAGACTCTCAGGTGTCTTTTGAGTCTTTTCTGAGCAGTTTGTGTGGCTGGTGTGGGATAATGTGCAGCTGGTCAGCAAATGTGGAAACTGCCCAATGAAGGTTTTCCCAACAAAGAGCTGCATTTTAACAAGCAAAGCAACATGGTTCACCTTCTCTGAGTGGTTTAATCTGATGAACGCATTGGAATTGGCTGGATCGGATTAATAAAATAGGGCGGCACGGTGGAGTGGTGGTCAGCACCAAGAGGGTTCTGGGTTCTAGTCCCGGGGGAACCAGGACCAGAGGGTTCTGGGTTGGAGTCCCGGGGGAACCAGGACCAGAGGGTTCTGGGTGGGAGTCCCGGGTGAACCAGGACCAGAGGGTTCTGGGTTGGAGTCCCGGGGGAACCAGGACCAGAGGGTTCTGGGTTGGAGTCCCGGGGGAACCAGGACCAGAGGGTTCTGGGTTGGAGTCCCGGGGGAACCAGGACCTTTCTGGGTGGTTCTGCATGTTCTCCTGTGTCTGTGGGTTCTCTCCGGGTTCTCCGGCTTCCTCCCACCGTCCAAAAACCTGCATGTTAGGTTGTTGGACTCCAAACTGCCCTTAGTGTGAGTGTGAGTGGTTGTTGGTCCTTGTGTGTCTCTGTGTGTCCCTGTGATGGACTGGGGACCGTCCAGGGGGACCCCGCCTCTCCCCATTGGCTACTGGGATAGGCTCCGCCCCCCCAGGACCCCATTAGGGGATAAGCGGTTAGGATAATGGATGGATGGATGGTAATTAAAAACATGTTGGCGTGCCTTAAAATGGACGACCACTTTAACAAAGGTCCAAAACTTTAACCGCCTCATATTTAAAGCCGGTCGTTCTGTTTTAGGTCCACGCCTGCTGTCCGTAGGTGTCCTCAGCACAGACGTAACCGGTTAATGTCTCATCAGTAATTCCTCAAACAGCCCGGGGCTGTGGGAGTGATGTTGTTTTTGTTGTTGTTGCTGTGTAATCGCTTAATGCCATGCATGGCGGCGCCTCAGACTCAGCCTCTGCTTCTTCTTTTTAATGTGGCAGAAACTTGTTTTGAATCTCTAAGCGGCCATTAACGCTGACAGGACGAGAGCGGTGAGTGTGTGAATGCGTCTGAACTGTGACCGGGTCCAGGTGTGTGTGTTTGCTGTACAGTACGTTCGCCCTTCATCGATCTTCCCTCTCAGGGACTCACCTTTAATGATCTTTATTCACTTCTGATGAAGGAAACTGTTCTTTGTCAGACGTTTATCTGCTTCGACACGCCTGATTTAAATGGATCCGTTTTAAACTTCTGCTAACGGGGTCATAGTTTTGATTTAAACTGATTTTTTTGTGTGTTATTTTCTCTCTTTATTGGCATTTAGAGCACTTGGATTTCAATAGTTTTATTATTCTTTTGGGTTCAGTACTTCATGATAGTTTGACCTGTGAAAAGTGCTTGATAAATAAACTTTACCTGTTTATTCTAACAGGAACTGAGTCTGTGTGCTTTGGTTTTTAGGAGCACGTTATCAGAACCATCCTGACTTCTGCAAGGGAAGAACCCTCAGCTCCAGCTCGGTCAGTGTTTCTTTTTATGGACATTTTTAAGGAGTCTGTCAGTTAAGATTATCTAATTTTGTTTGTATAATTTGTGTTGTTTTCATCTGTCCACACATGAATGTTTAGCTAATTTATTCCTTGTATTTAGGTTGATCCCTTGTAGGATTGTAGCTGTATTCACAGTGTCTCTGAGCATTTTATGTTATTTTTAGCTTGTATTGTCCTTGTTTTTCCAGGTGTGTTGCTCTGTGCAGTTTGGGGATCTGGCTGTGTGAGGAGTTAGCTCGTGGGACTCAATGTTCACAGATTAAAGAAGCTCTCAATGTCATCTGTGTTACCCTGAAAGTAAGTCAGCTCTGTCCAGGATGGAACATTTGCACCACATGCATTTTTTTTTAATGCACTTTGGTTTCCTAATGTTTAAAAATGTGAAAAGTGAAATGAGAACAAGGCAAAAACAAAAGAATATAAAGCCCAAAAGACACAAACCTAAAGATACATTTACGTGCAGAAAACATGAGCGAATGCTCCCATCATCAAACATCCACCCTCCACACTATTTACTCATTTGTTGGGGACATTAACTTTCTCTTTTCTTAAGTGAAAAGGCCGGTAACAAAGGAACTCCTTGTCAGTTGACCAGAGCAGACTGGTGTTCTGTAAATATAGATTTCCACAATTTGTAGACTTGATTAATTAATTTTGAATCGATAATGCTGTGTAAAAATCCTGCAAATATTGACTTATAATAGTAATATTAATGCCTAATAATAAATAAATATGAGGCATACGTTTTTATCGTAACCCTTTTTAAATAAATCATGTGAATATCTGTCCACGAATATGTGGACTCTGCTTTGGATGAATTCAGTATGTGTAACAGAGGGGTCTGCAGACAAAGTGAGGAGGTAAATATTGTCGGGAATTACTGTTATTGTTGGAGAAATTGTCCGGGTTGTTATTGTCTGCTACTGGACTTGGAGGCCTGTGGATCAAATAGCAATGTCCAACACTCGCCGTCTAATCTGTGGCCAAGTGGCTCTAGATGGACACAAGCACACGCGCACATACCTTTTCCACCTTGGAATCCCTGCTCCTGTATCGGCAGCCAATGGCCCGCTAAGACACACACACACAGACACACACACACACAGACACACACACACACACACACACACACACACACACACACACACACACACACACACACACACACAGAGACATAGACACACACACACCTGCTCCTGGGAGCAAACCCTGGACTGTAAATATGTTTGGTCCTCCTTCAGATAGGAGACAAATCCCAGGGGAATGCAGCAAGCTGTGTCTTACACACACACACACACATACACACACACAGACACACACATTGTTCACACACAGGTTTATACATACGTGTGCCATGTACACACAATTACACACACGTACACAACCTTGAGGGATTGTCATATTTCCATGCAGAGACACTTCCTCCTGTTGGCCAACGTGCTTTCCATCCCTTTCATCTGCAAGCATTTTTTGGTTTCCAGGCAGAGATCCACA